CAATCCTGGAAGAGTTACTGCAAGGGAATCGAGGAAACCACGGAAGCGGCCAGATTAAGAAGAATCCTTGCAAAGTCGCCATGCAACCTTGGCTATCTCAAGGGTAAAGGGAACTCATGTACTACGACGAGCGAGGAATATTTAGACCTCCTCCTGGACACACACTTCCCTGGAAACAAGCCGGTGGAAATCGACTGATTACTAACGCGCAAATCGAATGGTCTATTAAGACTTTTGGTCCGTACAAGTCAGCGAGATTTGATGGGATACATGCGGTAGAGCTGCAGCAATCACGGGGCATTATCTCTCCGTTCATTGCGGTTATTATAAGAAGCTGTCTTAACATGGGCTATATTCCGCTAGGCTGGAGCGAGACAAAAGTCTCCTTCATACCCAAGGCAGGCCAGGTCCTCCCACAGCAACCCCAAGAACTTCAGACCCATCAGTCTTACGTCTTTCCTTCTCAAAATTTTAGAGGGGAGCGGATGATTATGAACGGGGCGTGATACCAACTAGTAGGCTCTCCCCAGCGCTGCATGCCTATACGAAAGGCAAATCTATGGAAACCCCCTTGCACTCGCTCGTCGGGTTGGTGAAAAAAGTGTATCAGATAAAGAGTATGCTCTGGTTGCCTTTGTAGATATATAAGGCGCATTCAATACGGGTGCCTTAGAAGAGCTTGGAGTTGACCAGAACGTAGCGGCGCTGATTGAGTCTATACTTGTCAGCAGGACGATAACCGCTAAGCTTGGTAACACCACAATAAGAAGAGAGGTCTGTAGAGGCACTCCTCAGGGAGGGGTTCTCTACCCGCTTCTCTGGAACTTGGGAGTGAACTCTCTGCTGGTGGCACTGTAGAGGGGGGGTTGCCACGTCACAGCATATGCTGACGACCTGTCAATTGCAACGCTTAGAAACTGGACAGAGAGTAGGGGACTCGGAATAAATCCCGATAAAACTGAAGCAATTCTCTTTACAAGGAAAAACAGGCTGCCCATAGTCTTCCCGCTAATCTTTATGGTTGTGGAGATATCTTTGAAGGAGAATGTTAAGTATCTAGGACTCATATTAGACAGCAAACTTACGTGGAAGCCTAAAATAGAGCAAAGAGTAAGGAAGGCGAACGTTGCATTATGCACTTGCAAATAGGGATGTGGAAATAACCTTTTGTATCGATACTTATACTTGGAAGTATTTTTCTGAAAAGGCATCGATACCAAGCCGATACCAACCAAAAAGTATCGAGTATGTACTTTTATTTACTCATTTTCCGCCAGCTAGCTTGCTACTTTTACTCAAAAATTTTAGGTTGACCGTGAAGATCCAATTAAAACATGTCCAAAATGATGTCTCTCTATCCAAAAAATTTAACAATCGTCAAGCAAACAAATAATAAAAAGACAAATACATTTGTATTAAAGATTTGTTTACGAACTGTTTCTACAAGCTTAACTTTCAGTTGAAGCAACACCACCAAGAAAATGAAATTCATATGAAATGAGGTATGGCAAACCACAATAGTAACGGTAAATTTTGTTTGCTCTGTCCCCTTTCAGACACGTCAAGTCTTGAAAGCAATTTTTTTCGCATTCTCTTTTGTGTTTTCTATTTGCTTCCACACGCGTCAACTTTAATTGAATTCAAGTCCTTGGTTCTTTAAATGGGAAGCAACAAAAAGATCAAAAGAGACAAGAAAACTTGCAACGAATTGACGGTACGGAGGTATCTGTACTCTTCCCCTCTCTTCTCACCTCCTTCGCCAACGAACGAGCAGACTTGAAAGCAAGACTTGACGTGTCTGAAAGGGGACTCTGTTACTCAAATGGCTTTGAGTTGATTTAATATTGTGCTCTTACTTATTGCTCTACCTTATATTTTGGCATTCGTACATTTGCTTTACAAGCGATGGGAGTTTAAGTATGAGTACTTTTTGCCGATACCAAGTACTTACATCCGATACCTACTTATTGTATTCGGTGAAAATATCGATGCCCAAAGTACTTGGTTTCAAGATGAAAGTATCGAGTACCTACTTGTATTTACTTGTATCGCAACATCCCTACTTGCAAACAAGCGGTCGGAATCAAGTGTGGGTAAACACCTCGTATTACACATTGGCTTTAAACCTCGGTGGTCAGGCCAATACTATTATATGGAATACTTGTATGGTGGCCAGCAACTCAAAAGGCAAGTTACCTAAAACTATTGAGTAAGGTCCAAAGGACAGCGTTTCTATGCTTTTCAGGTGCCTTAAGGACCACCACAAACAAAGCGCAAGAGGTAGTAACCAATTTGCCCGCAATAAACCTGGCGGGAAAATACGCGGCCGCCGATTCAGCGCTCAGACTAAAAAGTATGGTGCTATGGAAGGATCGGCGGTTCGGTCACGCCTCCATACTTCACAATCTGGGTAGTTCACCAAGAAGTTCACTACTCCGCTCCTAAACCAACCTTCGATAGGCTCTTTAAGACGAGTATCCCGCCAAGAAGAGAGCGGCAAACACGAAGACCGTGGAGAAGGGAGGAATTGAATTTTTACACAGATGGAGCCAAGCTAGACAATAGGGTTGGCTACGGAGTTTTCTCTAAGGAACTAGGACTGGAACTATCCGTCCGAATTCCGGACTATTTTAGTGTTTATCCGGCAGAAGTTTTAGCTATAAAGGAGGTGGCTGTGTACCTTAGTACGCATGCCGTAACGAAGACTACGATTCATATTTTCTCGGATAGCCAGGCGGCCACTAAATCAATGAACATGGTAATGCTGAGATCGAAGATTGCGCAGGAATGGCTCGTAGCTCTAAACGATATTAGCGCTGTGGTCAAGGTCAGCCTCATATGGGTTCCGGGATACAGAGATATTGAAGGAAACTGCAGGGCCGATGAGCTAGCCAGGAAAGGTACCAATCTCTCCATATGTGAAAACAGAGGCACCATTGAGACACCCATGGAAACCTCCAAATTAGAACTTCGAAATAGCATGATCCAAGAGGCCAATAGGGAATGGCTAGAGGAAGGCACGTGTAGAACAACCAGGCTCCTTCGGCCACAAATATATTAGAAAAAGACGAAAGTTTCTCAGCCACTCAAGAGAGATTGCGATGGTCACGGCTTGTGTAACCGGTCATTGGCTATTTGGCAGGCACTCCCCAAGACTAGGAATATTCTCCCACGAATATTGTAGAAGTTGCAGAGATGAGGAAGAAACCGTAGATCACTTATTTGCCCAGCTTTGGCCAAGAGGAGGCTTTTTAGGTAGGCCCTTCTTAAGCTCTCTTACGGAATTATCATGCGTAGGAATAAAACCAATTCTACGCTTTATAAGAGCCTCACATTGACCTTTAAAAGTTCTAAGTGAGTTGGTCACATGAACCGACTGCCACATAAACCTAACCTAACCTAACCAAAGTCCGATATTATTATTATTATTAGCATTATTATTATTAGTATTATTATTATTATTATTCCCCCCTATTACGGTTGGCGTTGTCGTCACTAAACGACGACGACTTGTTAAAATCGGTATTGGCGTGGTTGATATCGATAACTCTTGACAACTATTGTCACATCTTTGGTATTGGCTAAGCAAAGTTGCTGTCGACGTTGAACTCACACGACGCCATTTCTGTCGACACCGTGTTTACTGACGACTGGAAGAAAATTTGTAAGTATAAGTGTTTTTTTTTTTAAGAAAAAAGGCCGTTAGTACCAGGTACTTATAAAATATGATGTGTAGACATATGTACATATGTATGTACTATGTGAACGACTCGTTAAGCATCAGTGGAATTCATTTGTTAAATATTTCATTTAACTCCTGTCTTCTCTTTTTATTTTTCGTGTTTTTAATTAAATTAAATTAATAAATGTCTATGTGTCTGCATTTATTTAGATTTTAGACATGAAAATTACAAGCGCAGAACAATTTGAAACTCTTATAGCTGAGTTAGAAAAAAGCCCTTGCCTAGCAAAGGGTTTGCAAAAGGGAACAGCTCCAGCTAATTTTAAACAGCAATGGGAGGCAATCAGCAGTAAATTGAATGCCCTTGGTCCCCCTTTAAGAGACAGCGATGGTTGGCAGAAGGTAATTATAATAACACCATTAAAGCATATATTTTGTAATATATGTACATTTCAACTGCCGGTGTGGCGAGATTACAAATTTAAAGTTAAGAAGAAACTTATAAAAAACAAGGCTGAGTGTAATGCAACAGATGGTGGAATGTATAAACAATTAACCCTCTGCCCATTGGAAGAGGCTGTGGCCAACTTGCTGCAGTTTAACAAGCAGCTAAGTCCAGAAGGTGTTTTGCAAGGTGTTCAGTTACCACCAGCGGAAACACAACACCAAACATCAAGTGCGGTTGAATTTGCTCCACTGGATGGCGCTCAAATTATTGAATGCATTCTGTTGTGCCCACCAGATTTGCCATGCGAAGAGGAAGAACCCACAACTTCAGCGAGCGCCAGGAGCAGAAATCAACCATCCACTCCAGTCAGAACACGAAAACCAAAAACGAGCGAGAGGAACGACCTTTTGGAAAGGCACAATAGTATGCAGGAAAGAATTTTAACTGACGCTACAAATAAAATGGGATCAATGAAGCATTCCTTACGCGATACGGCCGGTTATCAGAAGAAACTTCTCGCAATAGAAGAAAAGAAGCTAAAGCTTTTGGAAAAAAGGGATCGCAGAGAGGTAGAATTGCACAAAGCTGCAATGCAATTAAAAGAAATAAAATTAGAAATTGCCAAAGAAAAGCTTAGGAATTTAAAAAAAAGTTGACTGATTTTCATGTAGATATGTACCTATTTATTTTTTATTTTTAAGTACCTGTGAATTGTTTTTGTTTAGTACGTTAGATATTAGAATTACTATTTATTTGATATTAAAAGACTGAATTCCATTTATTTTATTAAAAAATAATGAACTGTGAATTGTTTTTGTTTAATACGTTAGATATTAGAATTACTATTTATTTGATATTAAAAGACTGAATTCCATTTATTTTATAAAAAAAGAATGAACTGAAATTACACAAAACTGTTTTTTATTTGTTCTCTAATTTGCGAAGCTTCAATATTTATGCTATTTTCCACATCATCAGTATTGTCAACATTGTCTTCGTTTAGTTCTGCAATGTCTGCATCCTCGTTTGTGATGTGTGAACCAAACTCGATGCAAATGTTGTTGAGTGCTGCACATACATTAGCGATTTGCGTGGCTTTAGATGGCGTATAGTGAAGTTGACGTGCACCGAGCAAACAGCGAAATCGGTTTTTTAACACTCCAATAGTGCGTTCAACTATGTTTCTAGCTTTGGCATGTTTGTTGTTGTAAATAGCTTCTGGACTTCCTTCTGCTGCGGATCGATATGGCGTCATAATGTATGGTTCAAGAGGATAACCCGCATCACCTACATAAACATTTTATATATTTTATAGGGTTTAAATTTGCGGGGTTAATTCTTACCTAAGAGCCAGCATCTACGCTCCCCAGCATCGTATCGCTCCTTCAGAATTGTTCTCGCTTGGCTAATATTCCAAATTAGAGTTATGCCCAGAACCCGCATAACGAGCATCAAAATACCGTATTCGCATTTTATGATCGCAAATCTGTGGAAGAATTTTTTATGTTTTAAAATGCAAAGCAAACGTTGGCCTGTTCTTACAATCATAACATTCAAACTAAAAAATCCTTTTCGATTGTAGTATAGATGCTGGTCTTGTTTGTTGGGAGCCAAAATTTTAATGTGGCTTCCATCGACACATCCAATAACACCAGGAAAACCAGTTTTTTGGAAAAAATACTCCTTGGCTTCTTTTTTTTCAGCGTCTGTCATATGAAATTTGATCCATAGAGGACATATGACTGCTTCTAAAATGTCGAGTGTTTCAGACAGGACTGAACTAACTGTTGGCTGGGAAAGCCCAAGGTGGAAGTCGTTTCCAACACTTGTTTGATATGAGCCCTGACCCAAAAACCGCAAAGTCGCTGCCAATTTTATAGTTTTTGATACGGCTGTTGTCCGGATTCCATTTTTTATTTGCGGCTTAATTTTTTGTAGTACATAGTTAAATGCAGTTTTGTTTAGTCGAAAATAGTCCTGAAATCTGAAATAAAATAAAATTTTTAGCAACATTGATATGTATGAAAAAATCCAAAACGCTCAAACACTTTTCCACGAGTATAAATTGTAACACTTACCTGTTATCTGGCAAACTAAATATATCAGAGTTCTGCCTAATAATTTTCCTTTTTAGTATAAGATCTTTTTTGCATTCTTCATCGCTTGAGCTTGAATCGGAAACAAAGAACATTTTTGCGCAAAAATATTCAATATAATAATAATCACACAGATCTAAAGAACGTAACCTTTTAAATAAAAATTGTAAACAACATGAAACAGCTGATGCAAAAATGACAAAGATGGTATTTCCTACATTAATTTATCGATAAATTGTCGACGTCGTCTCAACACGTTTAGCCAGTACCGATTCTGCGTCGATGTGATGTCGACGTCGACACGAAGTGATGTCGACTGAAAAACGACGACGATGTCGACGACGCCAAACGTAATAGGGGGGATTATTATTATTATCAGGGAACGGACTTTATGGAAATTGCCTTTTTTTCTGCTAAAGAGGTAGAGTATATTCGATTAAGAATGCCCCCGATTTAGTTTTCCCTGAGTCCACGTAAACACCTTCGATGTTGCCTTTTTTAAGATATTTGCCTCTTTTTGCCTTTTCTACCTTTAATTGTAAAATTCAAGGAAATAGCCCTTAATCCTGGTAATATAAAAGTTTTAAACGTTCCATATTTAAATTGGGCGCCACTTGTATCAACTCACGTCGAGCGCACGTTTAGTAAATTCAAGGCTTTTCTCCGCGAAAATATAATGAAAATCCTGAAAATGCATCACTAGTTCACAATTTTTCACTTTTTAAATTTTACATTTCTAAAATAAACATATTTTTTGATTATTTTCCGGCTTTTGTCTTTTTTAGTGCCTTCTTTTGCTTGTTTTGCGATTTCTAGAGTCTTTTCTTACTATTTCGCTATTTTATTTTGCCTTTTCTAGCCTATTTTGTTATTTTATTTTGTCTTTTTTATAGCTTTTAAGGTCATTAAAATCCATTCCCTGATTATCATTATTATTTAGTACACTTTAGTGCATTAAGTTGAGATCTTTTTTTGCACAATAATACAAACAGTAAACTTACGTGGAATATAATGAATATAATTGCATATTAAAATACATACATACATAAACGAAAAGTTAACAAAAGCAGACATTTAATCTTACTTTAGATAAACACGAGTGGATAAAAATTAAAACAGAAGTAATAATAAAAATAAAGTTACATATTTATTATCAAAAAACTTAAACATCAGGTTTTTGAAATTACCCTTATTTAACGGGTTCTTCAAAGCCAATGGGAGGGAGTTCCATAGTCTTACCGCGTTTACAAAAAACAGTCTTGAAGTGCATTGAATTTTGGAAAAATAAGGTTAAAGCAACGTGTACTTTTCGAAAGTGAAGTTTATTATAAAGGTATTCCGGTTTCTCAGTAATAATAAGTTTAAACATAAAAATACAATTACGTGCTTTTAAAAATTTTTGTAAATCACAGCCAAGTAAAGAAATATCTAGATGAAAGGTGATCAAACTTCTTTAAACCATATACATATCTTGGGGCAGTTGAAGGCAATGTTCAATTTATTAAGGGAGTGTGAATCTAACTTTCTATAAACAATTTCGAAGTACGTAATATAATGAACAATTAAGTTTGTGACCAACTTCCTTTTCGTATCTAACGGTACATAAGAAATGTTACTTTTAGACAACGTAGTGTACAAAAGATTTTGCTTCATTATCGTGATCATCACAACCGAGTTTTGAGTTAATAATGAAGCCTAGGTTTTTTTTACTTTTTCGACAACTTTAAGCTGATCTGTACCAATAAGTAAGTTGGGAATCTGAGATACCGAAATCTTACCCTTATAGATTGAGATAACGCAGGGCTTCTGGGCATTAAGAGAAATAAGATTGCTCGTTGACCATGCAAGAATAGAGTTTAGATCGTCATTAAGTTTATTACAGACGTCCTGAATTAATTCAAACTTATTAGAGAGATACAGTTGTACGTCATCGGCATAAGCATGCAAGCGAGCATGGGAGCAGGTGGTGAAAATGTCATTTATAAAAATACTAAACAACAGAGGACCCAAGATGGATCCCTGTGGTACACCTGAATACATCTGCACAGGTGTAGAAAGGTTGTTTCCAATTTTTACTTTCTGAAACCTTTCACTTGGCTCTTTATAAGTTCAACTGCGATTTTACTAAAGCTAAAATATTTAACTAGTAGTTTCTTTCATCAACTTTTCTGGATAAAACTGTAAAACTGTCAAAAAGCCAAATTGCTCTCAGAGAAAGAGAGAAAAGCCAAAAAGTACGGGAATGCTTTTCGGGTAAAAACTGGTAAAACTGTCAGATACACCGTGGGCCGCCATTTTTGGTTTACATAGCAGTTTTTTTATCATTTGCCGATCTGATAAATTATATGCAAATACGCAAGAAAATTAACAAAAATTCTTACAAAACTTGATATTTCTTCGCTGCGATATATTTAAGAAGGTGAAAATGCAGATGTACTTTATTTTTGCTTATTGAACTTTCAAATCATTTGAACAGCTGATGGTTTGCACTTTACCATTTTTCCCTTACTTTACCTACCGAGTACGGGAACGCTTTCTGGTAAATTCCTGTAAATTCTTGCAACCTATTGCGAGTTAGGGAACGCAACTAGTTTTTCGCATAACAAGTTGTGAGTAACGGATTCAAAAGCCTTGGAAAAATCTAGTACGCAAAGTTATGTTAGATGACCTTGATCAAATGGATCGCGTATATCGTCTAAAACCTTCGTAGCCGCCGTAGAGTACGAGTAGCCAGCCAGCTCTGAAACCAGACTGCAGCGGACTCAGTAGCTTGTTTGAGTAGATAAATTTGGATATTTGATGTGCTGTTAGCATTTCAAACACCTTAGAAAGCCCTGTTAGTATGGTAATGGGCCTAAAGTCAGAAATCAAAGAAGCGCCTGATTTCTTGAGTTTGACAAACTTTGAAAATGGAAAGTAAAAAGAAAGAAAGACGGGAAATCAGATTTTCTATTTATTTATAATTTATTGTGATTTCATAACAAATACTTTATTAAAGGGATTTGCATTAGAATAAAATGTATCTACAAATAACTTGCAGGCAGGAGTATTACAGCAGACAATTCGGGTATTCAACAAATTGAGCAAGTGACCTGGCAAGCTTTGACAACTGTCGTTGCTTTGAGCTAATTAGCTCTTTTGCCCAGTGTCAGATCACTTGCTCAATTTAGTGAACAGCCCTAATATGTTTTGGTATTATTTTTTGTCAGCTGCCTTCAGAATATAAATGAATTTTTAATTTACGGTTATAAATTTAGGCTATGTGCGAGTTCATCAAAAGTTTTGTACCCAAAGTGGTATATTCTGAAATTTTTTAGCTGAATTTAATTAATTTTTTTTTTTAGATTCAAATTTAATTTGTTGTTTGTTAGCAAACTGTGTGAACCCATTCATTTCATTACCGACACTTTCCAGTGATTTAGGATATTGCGGATTTATATAGCAATCAAACCATACTCACACACAGCCTTATTAAGAATGTATATTTATCTTTCACATTTAGCTTTGATCCATTGATGTAATTTCAGGACTGATTGGGCTCGAGTCTTTTTGTATGGAATCAAATATTTTACACAGTTCTGGCGAGTCCTTGATTGTTTTTAAAAATTCCGTTAAATGCTGATTTTTGTCTGCAAAATATAGAATTCGATTACAATTTCATTTACTTAGTGGAAAAACTGATCACTTTTATCTCAGACTCCGTTCAAACAGCTCGAATACCCATTTTTTTTAATTTAACAATCTAGATTTTACCGGGCATGTTTTCTTCGCCTTTATTTATCTTTTAAAAATTTTTTCCATCGCTAAAAACCGTGCACTTAAAAACAAAATAAAAACCTTAACCCTTATGAGTTATATTAAAAAAATGTCGTGTTAAAATTTTTGATCAAAAATAAAACAAATTTTTTTAGTGTTAGTTTTTCGCTTTGAAATAATGATTATATTTTGAATTACCTATAGCTTTTCACTTTTTTCATAAAAAAATCGTTATTTATTTCTTGAGCGATATTTTTTCTCAGAAGTAAAAATAAATTTTGGATTTGTTTTTGCAGATCGAAAACCTCAAACTCCACACCGCATAAGCCTCTGTTGTTGTTGTAGCGGCTCCTAAACCCAGCTCGGGTCGGTTCATCCATCAACGTTGTCGTCTGTTTCAGCTAAGAGGTGGCCCAGGAAGTGCGCAACTTCAACAGATATGTCCATAGGAACAGGGGCCTTAGCTGGATGAGGTTCAGGGGCATGCGAAGAGGTGCTGTGAGTCATGTAGTGACTTTCCGCGTGCTGGGCATTGGTTGGGCACATCCTCGTTTATTCTAATCAGGTATGAGTTAAGCTTGCAGCAATAGCCAAAGCGAAGTTGGGCGATTGTAGTGCGGGTTTCCCGAGGCAGCCAAACTTCTGTCCCGTCCATATCAGGCGTTTGTGTGCCTAGAACGGCATTCACAGGTCGTGAGTCTATATAACTTGTGAACGACTCCCTGTGACTGCCGTTCAGGGCCTGTCTGTATGAAGATGAGTCCAGCGGTTGCTTGGTGAACCTCAGGAGATGCCTCCTGACATGCCTAGGCGTGGGCTCTTCTGCAAGCAGCAGTCTATTTGGGTGACCACGTCTGTGGCTCCCTACTAGAAACTACTTGCGAAGGATGGGTTTATGCTTCTGGGTCGACATCAGAAGGCATCCGGTCGCTGTCCGAAGTGCCGTGGTGTTCTGGCACGTCTACAGCGTCATACTGCAGCCTGCTAGTCTCCGGCGAGCACACGGGCGCTGCATAATTTCACCGGGCGGCCAATCGCCTTGTATGTTGCCAACAACGTTTCTTTGTCTTTGTCCCAAGTGCTGCCGGCCAGTGACTTGAGGACGTTGTTGCGGCTCTGTACTCTGTTGACAACTGCGGTTGAGTGCGCCGAGAAGGAGATCAGAATGCCGAAGGAGACTCTGAGGATTTTTGGGTTATTCACCGTCGGTATTGGTATTGGTTCGCCATCGACGTGAATACGCAGTTGCAGTCTGACCTCCTTCGTCCAGGTGGTGAATAAAGTTGCCGAGGATTTTGTAGGAGTGAAGAAGCGAGAAAGCTCGGTCCATTCCCAGACGCTATTGTCGAGCAATCGTCAGCATAAGAGACAATAGTAACTGCCTCTGGTGATTGAGGGGGCTTTGATATGTAATAATTAAACAATAGCGGGTATAGGACGCCGCCCTGTGGTAAGCAGCTCAACACAAACACCACGGAACCATAACACAACACACACACCCGCATCACTACCAGCGCGCCGCCGCCAACAACTCCCGGTTCGTCCAACAATCTGCAAGATGTGTCACACTAGGATATTCGGCAATGTGACATCAGTCAAGTGCAACACCTGCCTTGGCTGGTGCCACTTCAGGGCATGCTCAGGTCTGCGCACCACGCGAGATTGGACGAGTAACTTCGAGAACCGTATATGGCGGTTAGGCAACACACATCCCTCACCCCCGCATAACAACACGTCTCCCGAACTACACGAAGCTGTTTCAATTTGTAACAGAATTCAGAGCAAGATCGAGGAGATAACCGTCTTCATGGGAAGGCATGGAATATTGGTAGCTGCGGTCCAAGAGACGAAGTTGAATAGCAATTCAACATCGTTGAATTGCGCCGGATACAATGTGCACCGTCGAGATCGCGAGCGAGATGATGGTGGTGGCCTAGCGTTCATCACGCAGCACACCGTACAGTATCGTCTCATCGAAGCAGGAGAATGTCAGGGCATTGCTATCCGGTCAGGCGATTTCGAGCTCGAAATATCTAACGTTTATATACCCCTGTTACCAGCTGTTCGGAGGGATATCACCATGAAATAGGTGCGCCTTTCAGAGGTGAAAACCGTATGGTAGTTGGCGACTTTAATGCGCACCACGATCTTTGGCATTCAAGCCTGTCAAATGATCGTAGGGGAACATACTTGGCTGAGCAGATAGACGATTCCGATATTCAGCACAATGGACGACGACACACCCACCAGGATTATGGGCTGCTGCTGCATATAACCAGACATAACAATAGTCAGCGCTTGTCTGATAAACAGAATATCATGGCGACCTATGCTGACCTTAGTATCAGACCATTTGCCCATAGTCATCTCGAACGATAAACCTGCCGACTTTGCTTCCGCGGAACACCGGGACCTATATGAACTATACAAAAGCTGATTGGAAAGGCTTCGCGGAATTTACTGAAAGCACCTTCCCTGCCCTCCCCACACCAAACGACGTTCACCTAAGTGAACGTAAGTTCCGCAGTAAGTTCACTGCTGCTGCAGCTCGCTTCGTACCAGCAGGTTGCATAACGGACCCCCGTCCAAACTTTCCTGCTGAAGCGGCTGTCCGATGAGCCTGACAACCTTCGTCCTCCCGATCCCGGCCGGCCGATCCCGGAAATCCCCGTATCAGGAATCTCAACACGGAGATTCGGCGGCTTGTAAACGTACATAAGCGGAAAAAGTGGGAACAGCATTTGAAGACTTGCAACTTCCCCTCTGGTGTGAGTAAGCTTTGGCCAACCATGAGGTTACTGTCAAATCCGACAAAGCGCGACGACAGAGTCGAAATATCTTTCGGCGACCATGCTTCGTCGGACCCGGAGCGATGCGCGAGCTATTTTAGCCGGCAATTTATACTGCATCCTCCGGTGGACAAAGCCAAGCGTAGAGTGATCAGAAGGCTGCAAAAACACGCTGCTAGAAGACGTAGAGGCCTTCTCAATCCTACAGAGACTCAAACGGTGGTCAGAGAATTATTTGAGTTGTCGACACTTGTCAGTAATGTTTAGAGATAAATCGAGCAAACCTAGAAAAATAAAACAGGGGGTTCCACAGTGTGGTGTCCTTTCCCAGTTACTGTTTAACTTTTATATTTCCAAGCTCCCTCAACCACCAGAGGGAGTCTCGATTGTCTCTTACACTGACGATTGTTCAATAATGGCATCTGGGAATGGAATTGATGACTTGTGCTTGAAAGTAAACGTAATCTCTCCGAGCTTTCTCGCTTCTTCACTGATAGGGGTCTTACCCTCTCCCCTACAAAATCCTCTGCGACCGTATTTACCACCTGGACGAAGGAGTTCAGACTACCGCTGGGTATTCCCGTTGATGACACCCCAATTCCGACGGTGAGTAACCCAAAAATACTCGGCGTAACATTCGACAGTCTGCTCGCCCTTTCTGCGCACACAACGGCAGGTGTCAACAAAGTACAGAGCCGAAACAAGGTCCCAAAGTCGCTAGCCGACAAAGGAACATTGCTGGCAACATACAAGGCAATTGGCCGGCCGGTTCTAAATTACGCAGCACCAGTGTGGTGGCTGGGGACCAGTAGGGCGCGGTGGATGAAGCCACAGACAGCACAAAATACTGCACTACGGACAGCGACCGGATGCCTCCTGATGTCGCCAGAACATCACCTACATGGCGAGGAGCAAATACTGCCCATAAGGGAGCACAACACCATGCTCTGCAAGCCATTCCTAGTAGAGAGCCACAGACGTGGACACCCCAACAGAAACTTGCTTGCAGAGGAGCCCTCGCCAAGGCATGTCAAAAGGCATCTTCACCAACTGACGGCCGAAGTGCAGAGGTTCATAAAGCAACCTCTGGACTCATCAGCATATCCACAGTACCTGAGCGGCATTCACAGGGCGTCAGTCTCAAGTTACGTAGACTCCAGACCTGTGTGTGTGCCGTTCTGGGCATACAACCACCTGAAATATACGAGACGGAGCTTCGTCTGCCTCGGGAGACGCGGACCACAATAGCCCATCTTCGCTCTGGCTACTGCAGCAGGTTGAACTCATACATGAGAAGATTAGATGCAGATGTGCCAAATGAGTGTTCGGCATGCGGAGAGACACCCCACGACTGGAAACATCTCTTCATATGCCCGAAAAACCCCACGCAACTGACGCCTCCGTCCCTGTGGACAGACCCTATAGAGGCTGCACGCTTCTTGGGTCTTCCGTTAGTTGAACTTGACGACGACTGAGATACTAGCCGATCAAGATCGGGGCTGTTGTAAACGCTACAACAACAACAAAAGCCCTGTTTAATTTTTTCCGGTTTGCTAGTTTTACCCCTGAAGATTGCTGACGATTGTCGACCACGCAGAAAGAAGAGCTCAATGTCTTCTAGTAGCGTGGAGTGACTGACGGTGTCAAAAGCTTTTGACGGGTCCAGCACTACTAGAACCGTTCTCTCACAGGGGCGTTTTCGGTTAAGGCCATGAGTAATATGAGTGTTTATGGCATTAAGTGCTGTTGTTGTGCTAAGCACTTTACGGAATCCATGCTGATTCCTCGCTGGAGTTAGGTGGTTTGTGTAGTGCGGGAGAAGGGCGTCTAAGGTCTTCGCTACCGGGGAAAGGAGGGTTATCGGGCCACAAGTCTCTGCTTTGTTTGACGGTTTTCAGATTTCTAGAATGATGAGAGTGGCCTTAAACAGCTTGAGGACCTTGGTTAGATAGTTCACTCTCGCAGGACCCAAATTTTTCAGCATCAACATGCAAATTCCGAACGGTCCTATGGCTTTGAAAGCTTTTGCCTTCCCGTTGGCTACCCTTACCCCACCGCTGGTGAAAACAAGAGTCGCATTTGGT